CTTGTGCAGCAGATTTGCCTAATGTATCGTTTGATTTCTTGACCGCTGCTTCCATGAGTGTAGATAGTTGATCCAAGAAGAATGAAGTCCTTGACAACTTTGATCTTTTCTCCGTTGACAAAAATGTTGTTTATTGTTCCAGTGGTGAGGATTTTTGTTTTCTTTATATTGAGATGCAATCCATACCAAAGTCTGTGCTCTTTAATCTTCATCAGTAAATATTTTAAGTCTTCTTCACTTTCAGCAAGCAAGGTTGTATCATCTGCATATCGCAGGTTGCTAATGAGTATTCATCCAATCCTGATGGCCACGTATTTCTTCATATAACCCAGCTTCTCGGATGATTTGCTCAGCATACAGGTTGAATAAGTGTGGTGAAAGAATACAACCTTGTCGCACACCTTTCTTAATTTTAAACCATTTTAGTGTTCCCATATTCTGTTTGAACAACTGCCTCTTGTTCCATGTACAGATTCCTCATGTACAGATTCTATCACACGTCTGTCAGTTTGTCATACTGTGGTTGTTTGTGAGTTGCAGTGATTCTTAAAGTTATGCCACTGGTATTTTAAATACCAGCAGGGTCACCCATGGTGGACAGGTTTCAGGTGAGCTATCAGATGAAGACAGACTAGGAAGAAGGAGTGACAAACTTCTTCTGAATATTTAGTCACTAAAACCTTATGAATAGCAGAGAAACACTGTCTTTTGTAATTAGGCTCCACAAATGGCCTACTGTGAGTATACAGCCTTTTGTGTGTGTGTGTGTGTGTGTGTGTGTGTGTGTGTGATCTTAGTTGTTAAAACCATCATTTCCACATACTATTTATCTCAACAGTATTGTCAAGGAGTTCTGGTGTGCACTGTTGGATAAGCACTGGACTACTTACCCAAAGTCAGTGGTTCAAACCCACCCACCATTCCTTGGAAACTCCTTACCTCATTGGACTCAGAATCAATTCGATGGCACTTAACAACAATAGAGTTTCATAGTGACTCTAGTAATTAGATCCAGATACAGTTACAGGAGGCTGTTGGATGAAGAGTTATCTTTTTTTGCTTGTCTTTCAGAGTTGTTGTTGCTGTTGTTAAGTGTTGTCAAGTTGATTATGACTCATAATGACCCTCTATAGAGTTTCTGAGGAGTGCCTGATGAGTTTGAACCACCGACCTTTCTGTTCAAACTGACCTTGTAGTCCAGTGCATTATCCTTCTTCCAAAACAGATCTATTGGTTCTTTTGGCAGCCCAAGGCACTTTCAATATTCTTGTCCAACACCATAACTCAAAACATACATACTCATAGTTTAAACAGTCTTAAAGTCTTTGAATGAAGGCATCAGGGCACAGTTCTGGGAGTCATTACCTTCTTCTGTTACCACTCTCTTTGAGAGATGAGGAAGTTTCTCATAACTTTATTATGAATTCTGTGTATGTGCCGGCATATTTCCGAATGTTTTATATATTGTAACTATCTGTTTGAAAATAACACGTTTAGCTATATTTTTTTTTTCTTTGCAATTTTATATTCTTTACCTCATTGGAGGTAGAAGGGGTAAGAACAGGAAAGTAATTAAAGCATATTTATAGATATGTGTATATATCACTATATATAGATATATCTACACAATATATATAAAGTAATTAAAGCATATTTATAGATATGTGTATATATCACTATATATAGATATATCTACACAATATATATAAAGTAATTAAAGCATATTTATTTATGTTCTTTCATGGTTAAAGAAAGCTATGGCAACATTTTCCTGGCCCACATATTCAATTAAAAATATAGTGAGTCTTTCTACTTTTTGAATTATTTGGTGCTTCCAAGCATTTATTTTTGGCATTTCATTTCCTTTTTGTTTTTGCAGGAAATCTTGAAATTTTATCATGATTTAACATTTTCATTTTGAAATTAAGCTCACTTAAAAAATTGATTCATATACATGAATATGTATGAGGGGCCTTCCAAAAGTTCACGGAAAATGGAATGAAAAGATAATGGAATTTTCCCACAACTTTGTTAAGCTCCCTTGAATATGTATGTATATGTATACATTTTTCTGGGCTCTGTATCTTTGTCACAATACTTTATATGTGTGTGTTTTTAACATCTTCAACATGTAAAGCTATGTGAACTTAACAGGAAGAGGATAGTATTCTAAATTGAATACTACTGGTCTTCTTGTCCCTAAGGAGCTGACAGGCTTGTAGGAGAATTCTTGAATAGTCAGTTGTTATTGAATGGGTATCTACAGTATCAAGCAGAAATAGCTGTGGACATGAGAGAAGGAGAAAGTTCTGTGAATGTACCCCTTATCCATCTTTTCTCTCCTGGAGCAGACCCTCAATTTCTGTTTCCCCAGGTCAGAAACCTGGACAACATCTTACATTCCTCAGTCTCTCTTTCCTCTGCTTACACCTTTCTAATACACTTGAGTGTGGGCATGTGTGCACATGTATACACATACAGCTAACCAGCTACTGTGATTTTTACATTGTTGTTTGGAATTGATTTTCAACTCATAGCCACCCCATGTGACAGAACAGAACTGTGTCATAGGGTTTTCTTGATTGTATCCTACAGGAACAGATAGGACTTTCTCCTGTGAAGCCACCAGGTAGATTTCAACTTCCAGCCTTTCATTTAGCAGCCGAGCATTTGGCCATTGAACCACCAGGTATATGGTTATATACCGGGTACATAACCATAACATACAAGGATAGTAAGGGCTGGCCTGGAAGAATTTTTGAGGGAAAATGTTACCCCATGACTTGGGTCAGGTGCACCACTCGGATAGTTACTATGTACATAACCAAATCCACTTACCCGCTATCATTGTGTCTATTCCAATTCATAATGTGTTTAGCTCCCAATTTATATATATATAGAGAGAGTTTATATTTTTCATATCCCTTACTTCACTCCCTTTTGTCCCTACCCTGTTTGTTGTTGTTGTGGAGTGCCATCAAGTTGGGTCCTACTCATAGTGCCCCTGTGTAGGGTTTCTGAGGATCGCCTGGTAGGCTTGTACCACGGAACTTAGCTTTAGCAGTCCAGTGCTGATCCTACAGCACTATACCAGGACTCCTTTTCTTGGTCTTTATAATCAACTTCTTTGAACTATTTACTGCTTTATTTATTTACTGACATCTATTTATTTACTGCTTTATTTTTTTTACTGTATTTTTTATTTACTACTTTATTTAGTGCATCATTATTTATTTACTGACTATTTATTTACTGACATCACTTGTCTCCCATTTACCAGTCACTCTTCCTTGTCTAGAGGATTATGCTGAGCTCTTGATTGGTTAGATTACCAGTTGGCTTTTAAATTATACTTTACCGTGGTTCATCTTCATAGCAAACTTACAGGACAGAATAGATCTAGTCCTAAGGGTTTCCAAGACTAAATCTACACAGGAGTAGATTTCCTCATTTTTCTCCTTTAGAGTGGGTGGGGGATTTGAACCACTGACTAACCCTATAGTTAGCAACCCAAACCTTATCCTACTATACCACCAGGGCTTAACATCGCTATGAATTGAAATTGACTCAATGGAAGTAGATTTTTGTCTTTTAACCATGATATTCATGACCTTGTTGTTGTTAAGTGTGGTGGTGTTGATTCCGACTCAAGCAGCTGGTGGGTTTGAACCACCAACCTTGTGGATGGTAATCTAGTGTTTATCCTAAAGCCTTGTGGATGGTAATCTAGTGTTTATCCTAAAGCACCACGCCAGGACTGTTGTTTTTATGAAGTGCCGTTGAATCGGTTCTGACCCATAGTGACCCTGTATAGGGTTTCCAAGGAGCAGCTGGTGAACTTGAACCACCAGCCTTGCAGTTCAAACAGTTTTACACTCTGGCACATTTACCCACAGCACTACACCTAGCACTTGCTTATCTTTCCAGCTACCTCCATAGCTCCACTATTACTTACAGCATATATGTCAGTAATAGTACATTTAAGTAAAGTCTGGAATAAACAACACACATAAGAGGGTAAGTCAAAAAGAAGTTCTATAAAATCATAGAACCCTTTATTAAATAAAAATATCAAAATGTGAAGCTATTATTTCTTGACATATCCTCCAACTAAATCTATACATTCATGTAGGTGGTGGTTCCATCTGCTCTTTGGTTTATTCCCCACCAAAACAACAGTTGTGGTATCCTCAAGGGATTCAAATCATGTTCTTTTTCAATGTTATTTGAGTTTGCAGAACAAAAAGAAGTCTGAAGAGGCCATATAAAAGCAGTAAGATGGGTGAAGTAAAGTTTTTCCTGTGAAATTCTTACAGGACAGCCGTTACTACCCTTGAAGTAAGAACAGGTGCATGTCATGGTAGAAAAAAAATTCATTGTCACAACTTTCGTGGCCTTTGTCTTAGCAATGCAGTTGTTTTGTTTTCTTCAGACTTCTATATAAGCCCCATGATCGGTCTGTGTTCTTTGAGAAAGTCTATCAAGATTACTCCTTTGGAATCCCAATGAACAGACACCATAACCTTCTGAGTTGATCTCGCTTCCTTGAATTGAGTTTACCCAGCAAATACCCTTGGAAACAACAGTTTTAATTGGACCCTTTAATTTTTTTTGGAAGTCATCAAAATGAATTGCTGAGAGAACTTGTATTCAGCCATCTGCTGATCACAGGGACATATTTAAGCATGTTTTGCTTGGAATATATCATGCGTGTATGAACTAGGACTGTGATGTCAATATTTTCTGATTTATTCCTACATGTGTCTATACGGACATCTCTTAACTAGGGCCTCCTTGGACACTCTCTTTGAGCCATGTTCTCTCAGTGTCCACCATGTTTTTCCTGTACTGTACTGTTCTAACTTATTCTTAAATGCCTTGCGTTTTAAGAGTTAGTATATAAATAGTAATTCATTGTTATTTTACTTTTTTTATGTATGTATTTTTATAATCTTTATTTTTGGCAATCATCTTTATTTTTCTTTTCTCTCCTACTTTAGGCTTCTGTTAGTTCAACAGCTTCTCCTCCGGTCTCCACCCCTGTCACAGGACACAAGCGAATGGTCATCCCAAACCAGCCTCCTCTAACAGCAACTAAAAAGTCAACGCTGAAGCCACAACCTGCACCCCAGGCTGGACCCATCCCAGTGGCTCCAATTGGAACACTCAAGCCTCAGCCACAGCCTCAGCCAGTTCCAGCTTCTTACACCACGGCATCCACTCCTTCAAGGCCTACTTTCAACGTGCAAGTGAAGTCAGCAAAGCCCAGCCCTCATTACATGTCATCTCCTTCATCAGGACAATTCTACGGTCCAGGAGCCCAGGGCTATAGCACTCAACCAGTGCCTGTTTCTGGGCAGTGTCCACCTCCATCAAGCCGAGGAGCCATGGAGTATATATATATTCCTTCACCGGGACTTCAGTCTGATCCTGGATATGGGTATGCTCCCAACCAAGCTCGCTATTATGATGGTTATTACCCAGCAGGGCCTGGCTATGGGGGCCAAAATGACTCTGATCCTACCTATAGTCAGCAAGGTCACCAGAATACCTGGAAGCGGGAACCAGGATACGCTCCGCCGGGACCAGGCAACCAGAACCCTGCTGCTATGTATCCGGCCCCAGGTCCCAAGAAGACCTATATCACGGATCCTGTTCCAGCTCCGTGTGTACCACCGCTGCAGCCAAAGGTAGGAAACCATTAACATAGTGATGGGAGTAAAGAGGTACCCAATGCAGAGCCTAAAGTGAGAGTCTGCATGTTATATTCATGTATTTTCTTAGTAAAATCCCAGGGCGCGTAAGTAAAGAGCGATCCCATTTGCAGATATGCTACTGATCTGGCTACTGTGCAGTATCAAGTGCAGTTAATTGCACTGTCTAGACAACCATTTTCCAAAAGGCCACCTTTGCCTTAACATTTCAGGATGATCTGTTCAGGGGTAGGGGGTGAAAATAATTAATCCTTCAGTTCTTCTGTCCCGCTGGCCAAAGTTTTCTTCTGTGGAGTTTAACCTTTCTTGTGCTTCCAGGCAGCACTTATAAAGGGCACAAAATAGGTTTACAACATCTTATACCTCAGCAGGTACAGGGAAATATATAAGTGAGTGATGTGCAGAGCAGCTATGATATAAGTGAGTGATTCTTAGGCTGTATCCATATGAAAGCAGTGGCAATCCAAGCAGTTGGTTCTATGCAGCTGCTGGAATACAGCCAATGACCTAAGGCCCAGGAGAAAGTGGGGGGCTAAAGGAGTCTGAGGTAGTGCAGACTCTTGATCTGCTTTCCTTTAAGAACAGGCTGTAGTGAAATGGGGCACGTCTGTTAACATTGCTCATCCACATTGATCATTGAGGAAGAACCATACTTTGCAGTCTTGAACCTTTGTAAGCAATTTGTAAAGATCCTTTCTCAGTGGAAACTTTCTTTTTTTGTTTCTTCATTCCCAAGTGTCAAGATGTATACTTTTAAAGTCAAAAGTTAGTTGCTACTCCCTCTAAATGGATAAAAAAAAAAGCACATACTTACTTTCCTCAGATTTTGATTGTGCGCATTAGTCTTAAAACCAACATGTTGTTTGCTCCCACCATGACAAAAGAAGGCTAAAAGAGTTACTTGAAGGGGAGAAATGGGCAACTGAGCCAGGTTCAGCTGTGGGTTGAAACAGAATCTTCTTTTCACTTATACCTGTGAGAAATCACAAAGTTGTTGTTGTTAGGTGTTACAGACTTAGCTCTGACTCACAGTGATGATGTGTATAACATAACACTGCCCAGTCCTGTATCATCCTCACAATTGTTGTTATATTTGAGTCTATTTTTTATGGAGCCAACTTGTCAGTCCATCACTTTTAGAGGATTTCCTCTTTATCCTGGCCCTCTATTTTTCCAAGCGTGATGTCCTCTATGAATTGGTCCATCTTGACAATATGTCCGAAAATGAGAGACAATCCTTGCTTCTAAGGAGTATACTGAGTGTACTTCTGAGACAGTTTTGTTTGTCCTTCTGGCATTCCATGGTACTTTAAATATTCTTCAACAAGATTGTTCAAATGCACCACTTCTTCATCGTTCAACTTTCACATGCATATGAAGTAATTGAAAATACCATGGCTTGAGTCAGTCACACCTTAGTCCTTAAACTGAATTCTTTGCTCTTTAACACTTGAAAGAAAGAGGTCTTTTGCAGTACTTAACTGCTGCTTCCATGAGTGTTGATTGTAGATCCAAGCAAAATGAATTTTATTACAATTCCATTCTCTCTCTCTATTTTATTATTTATTGGTTCAGTTGTGAGGATTTTCATTTCCTTTACATTGGAATGCAGTCAGAAAGTGAAAACTCTTAATTTCCTGGAGGTTGAATGATAATTTTGAAGAGTAGATCAGGTTGAATGTTGTTGAGGTTGTTAGGTGCCATTGAGTTGATTCTAACGTAAAGTAATCCTATATGACAGCTGGTAGCGTAGTGGTTATGAATTGGGCTGCTAACCTCAAGGTTGGCAGTTTGAAACTACCAGCAGTTCTGTGGGAGAAAGATGAGGTGTTCTGCTCCCGTAAAGATTTACAGCCTCGGAAACCCTGTGCAGGGTCACTATGGGTCGGAACCGACTCCACAGCACTTATATGACAGCAAAGAAGTGCCTCATAGGGTTTCGGCCATACTCTTGATTGAAGCAGATAGCCAGGTCTTTCTCCACTGAAGCCAGCCTTTAAGTTAGCAGTTGAATGCCTAACACTGTGCCACCAGCATTCCTTACATAGAAGATTAAACGATATACAAGAGAGCTTCAAAAAAGGAATCTTTCCACCAACTTTTTGAAGTGTCCCCCCAGCGTATATATGTATATATGTGTATGCATGTATATATATGTGTGTAAGGAGCTCTGTTAGAGTAGTGGTTACGAATCAGGCTGCTAACCTCAAGGTCAGCAGTTCGAAACTACCAGCCATTCCGTGGGAGAAAGATGAGGCTTTCTGCTCCCGTAAAGATTTACGGCCTCAGAAACCCTATGCAGGGTTGCTATGAGTCAGAACCGACGCCCGGTACTTAACAACAATTACAACATGTATATGTGTGTGTTTGTGTATAGATAGATACATATAGATATATATCCATCCATCCATCCTGGTATGGCACTGTGGGTCAATGCGCTGAACTGCAAAGTCACTTTGAACTGCAAGGTTGGTGGTTCAAGCTCATCAGCTGCTCCTTGGAAACCCTATACAGAGTCACTATGGGTCAGAACTGACTTGACGGTACTTATCAACGACAGCAACTACAAATATATATACATATACATGTATATGTGGACAGTGAATAAGGAAGACCGTAGAAGAATTGATGCCTTTGAGTTATAGGAGGAGAATACTAAAAGTGTCATGGGCTGCCAAAAGAACCAATAGATCTGTTTTGGAAGAAGTGTAGCCAGAGTGCTCCTTGGAGGCCAAGATGGCCAAACTTCGTCTCTCATACTTTGGACATGTTGTCAGGAGGAAACAGTTGCTGGAGAAGGATGTCATGCTGGGTAAGATGAAAGGTCAGAGAAAAAGAGGAAGACCCCCAACGAGATGGATCGGCCAAGTGGCATCATTGATGGCGTTAAGAGTGGCAGCGATAGTGAGGTTGGCCCAGGATTGGATATTGTTTCGTTCTGCTGTGCATGGGGTCGCTATGAGTCAGTTTCAACTCGATGGCACCTGACAACAACAAATGTACATGTTTACACATATGTATACATGTGTTTATATATACATACATATGTGTATATATGGAGTCCTAGCACTGTGTGTTAATGTGCCAGATTGCAAAGCCATTTGAATTGCAAGGTCTGCAGTTCAAGCTCACCAGCAGCTCCTCGGAAATCCTATACAGGGTCACTATGGGTCTGAACCGACTCAACGGCACTTAACAACAACATGTAGATATATATATATCCTTTCCACATTTGAGATTGTCAGTTTCACAGATGCATTCACATTTTGAACACTATGATGAACTTTTCAGATCTATACTATCTCACTAGAGTGTTTGCTAAAGCACTGTTGCATGAAAGCATCTATCTGCTCTCTACATGATCCTTCAAGTAAATTTCAGATATCTTAGAGAAACAGAGTCTTGCCCAGTCCAATATTTATCCTACAGCACCACACCAGGAATCCATCAAAGTATATTTGCATTATTCTTTGCTGGTCCCCAAAGTAACTAGTGCATAAAAAAAAAATGGGATTATTCAGCTTTATCTCAGTTTAGTACTCCCGCAGCAAATTCCTCTGTGGTGGCGGTTATGTGCTGTGGAGTAGGTTCCGACTCATAGTGACCCTGTACAGTGTTTTTGAAGATGTGAATCTTTACGGGAGCAGAAAGCCTCATTTTTTTCCTGTGGAACAGCTGGTAGTTTCAAACTGCTGACCCTGAGGTTAGCAACCCGACTCGTAACCACTACACTACCAGAACTGCTCTATAGAAGATTAAAATAGAAGTTTCTATTTCAACATTTGCCACCAACATTTAAGTTCAAAAAGGTATACAGTTCTTCTCTGAGCAATGTAGTCTAACTGGGTGGCTGAGTGATGTTCCTAAGAAACATCTATACTGGTCTAACTAACTTGGTGCCTGAGTTGTTTAAGGAACCTTCCATTCCACCTGAGGAAACAGACATGAAAGAGAGCCTTGGGGGAAAGAATGTACCAGTCTTTGAGTTTCCTGCTTTTCCATTATACCACAGCTACTGTGGACAGCCTCTCCAACATTTGGAACCAAATTCAGTGGTGTAGAAGAAAGAATCCATACCCACTGCAAGACCTAGGTGGAGACAACATTATTAGCTTTTGATCCATCCTCACCAACCTATTCAAGCTGATGGGATGGACTTTTTATTAAGCACTTTTCAGAAAGCATGTAGTTTTGTTTTTTATTAAGATAGTTATCCAAGTTGACTTAACATATTATTACAGATTTACGGTAATCTGTGGTGGAGTCCTGGTGTGGTGCTGTGGGTTAATGTGCCAGACTGCAAAGCCATTTGCACTGCAAGATCGGTGATTCAAGCTCACCAGCTGCTCCTCGGAAACCCTATACAGGGTCGCTATGGGTCGGAACTGACTCAATGGCACGTAACAACAATGGCCTTCATGTCATAAAAAAATTTTTTTTGAAATATTTATTTCCTAACAGTATTCTGTGTTCTAACATCGTATTCAAATATGCATTTAAAAAAAATGAAAATAATTTCGTGTTGTTTTTGTGTTGGCTATTAGGAGGCAGGATTGAAGGTTGCAATTTATCCAACTATCTGTGCTTTAGGAAAGGGGAAAAAAGGCTGTTAAAGCAATAGGTGTTGTGTGTATGTGTGGGCTGTGGATGTATTGGTTGATGAACAGATAGGCTCTATCACAGTTCTTCTTAGAGCAGAGTACGGCTATATTCAACTGCACCTGGATACAGAGAACCTTATTGCTATATAATGACTCTTCTTGGCTTACTGACATGGTAACTGGCATGAGAAATGAGCTTAGTTTTGAACCCTCCTTTGACATTCCTCTTTCAGCCTGAGGAGAGCCTCTAGATGTCTTTGTGTCATGTTTCCAATCTCAGTAAAATGGAATGTGTTCTTGACTAATTAATGAATGAATGCAGAGGGCTTGGAAATTTTCAAGGACTGAATAATTGCCAAATGAGAACTATTGAAC